TATAATTGGCTCTTTGATTCTTATTTATCGATTTTCATTCCTCTACTTTTCATTAGAGTAAGAAAATGGTTAAAAAATCAAACCGTACAGGACTCAATTAAATGAGTTCCGCTGACCCCCAACTACTGTTCCTCAGAGGCAACCACATTTTTATTCTTTTTCTTATAATGGCTTTTCCACTTTAACTTCCATTGTGAAACACAGCCCACACAAAGAAGTTTCATCCTAAACAACTAAGTACAACCCTGCCTCTGCCTAAACTTTATATAAATGGAGTAATTAGTATTTATTCTTTTATGTCTGGATTCATTCATTAAACCGTTGTTTTAAGATCATCCATGTTGTGTGTGGCTGTAATTGCTTGATTTTTATTGCTGTATAGGTTTGTGTTTTTTTGTTTTTTTTCCTTTTTTTTGTCTTTTTTCGTGACCAGCAACGGATCGCAACCCTCAGTGTCACGCCCGGACCGGACCAGGACCGACAACGGGATCGCAACCCTCGGTGTTGCGCCCGCACCTCACTCAGCCAGTGAGCGGCCGGTCTGTATGTGGGATCCGAACCCTCGGCGGGAGCGTCACCGCGCTCCCAAGCAGCGCACTGTAGCAGTGCACCACCGGGCCGGCCCTTGCTGTATAGGTTTTAACTGTATGAACATACCACAAGGTGTGTTCATTTCATTATGGCTATTACAAATAATGATGCTGTGAGCATTCTTGTATGTATACATTTCTATAAAATACATTCCTAACAGTGGGCTTGTTGGGTCTTAGGGTATTTATTTCTTCCACTGCAATCAATGTGTCAAGCTTTTTTTTGCCCAGTTGTGGTACCAGCTTACTCTCCCACCAACAGTATATGAAAGTCTTCATTGTACTAAATCCTTAATAATTTGGTATATTCAATTTCCAGACTTAGCAATTCTATGGCTAATACTTTGTGGGATATTTTTTTTTTTACCCTTTTAAAAATAAAACACTAATGAATAAATAAATAAAACACTAATATAGAAAACCACACAAAACAAATGTATAGCTTAATGAATTATAAGGCACTTATACCTACCACCCATCAAGAAATAGACCTTCCCCCAAGAAATAGCCAGCCTTTTACAAGTCTCCTCCATGTGTCCTATCCTGATTATAACTCATTCCCTAAAATTAACAATTAGTCTGACTTTTATAACCTTTTCTTGTGTTTATGGTTTTATCATCCGAAGAGTATATCCTTAGATACTACACTTTAATCTCACCCATTTAAAAAATAGTATATGTCTTTAAATCACCTGAGTTTCCTCTTCCATTTCTTTCTTTTCCTTACAGTTTATCTGTTGTTGAATCTGAACCGTTTAACCTATAGTTCCCAGGGTCTAAATACATGTTTAAACAAATTATCAATATAAATTATCAAAGAGCCATTTTAGACATTTTCCCTGATTACCTCTCCCCCATTAAATACCAAAGAAGAGGATTTTCCTCTAGCTTCTGTTCTAAAACTTGGCTGCTGGGTCCAGTTTCTTGACCAGACTTAGATTCAGTACCTTTGGCAAGATTACGTAGTGTTCTTTCCTCATATGGCACTTAACATCTTGTTGTCTCTGTGATATTAGCAGCTGGTGATATTCGGGGTCTAGATCCAGTAATTTATTGAGGGTGGCAAAATGATGACATTTTAATTGAAATTTTCTTCATTTATATTAGGATACCTTTATAAAGAAACCATTCCTTGTCTGTTTGGTTACCCAGTGACATAGTTCATATAGGAAAGGAAAGGAAACGCCTGATTCTTTGCCTTTGCTTACCAGTTTTAAAGGTAATATATCTTGGCCGGCCTAGTGGCTCACTCGGGAGAGTGCGGTGCTGATAAAGGTAATATATCTTACCCATCATCCTCTGAAGATGACCTTTTAAAAAAAACAGCAACATAAACTCTTTTATTTATACATTTTCTTAAGAGTTTTATGCTATATCAGTAATTATTCTTATTGAAACTCAAAATGTCCTAGTTTAGGCCAATAGGAACTTATTCAGGACTTTATTTCTAGTTCTCATAGGACCCAGATTTGCAAAGTAGTCTTTGGTACCTGCTTTGATATCTGATATGATAAGATGCTCCGGGCTCTTTCTGTATAGTTCCTGCCACGGACCTGGAATTAGTAATTTGTCCAAAAAGCCCTGGTTTCTTTTGGTGGGAAATATTTCAAGACTATAATCTAGGTACTGTGGGTGTTCATTGCTACAAGTAGATCATTGCTTTTAGGCTTTTTTTTTTTTTAAGACAGAACTAAAGTATTTTTTGAGTTAATACTAATTTATAATTCAAATTTAGGTTAGGGTTTTTACTTATTTCTGTATTTAAGTGTAATTATTTTTTCTACATTAAGAATTTTGATTCTCAGAGACACAGGATTTCCTTGTGGTGTTTCATAATGTTGGACACTTGCTCATTTACTTACTGGTCTTCTGGGATTCCTCAAGATATTCAGCCATTACGAATTGAAGTCTTTTGCCCCATTTTTCCTTGAGTTGTCTAATTTTTTTTTTTATAACTGTATGAGATTTGCCATAATTCTTTTCTTTGCTTATTTTTATTTATTTATTTTTGTTTTTGTTTTTTTTTAAAGATGACCGGTAAGGGGATCTTAATTCTTGACTTGGTGTTGTCAGCACCATGCTCTCCCAAGTGAGCCACGGGCTGGCCCCTCTTTGCTTATTTTTAAGGAAATTAGTTTTCTTGAACATTTAGAAGGGGCTGTAAAATCATGTTAAGTGAAATAAGCCAGGTACAGAAGAGAAATAACACATGTCCTCACTCATGAGTGGGAGCTAAAAAAAAAATTAGGAAAAAGTAAATGAAGTAAAAATCACAATAATATTTTGAACTTTCAAAAGTAAAGAACAGAACTGAAGTTTCGGGGGGGGTGGTAAGAGGAATTGGTAAAGGGCTGTGAAAACCTATTACATTGTGTAATGTCGAATATACTAATTATTCTGATTGAGCATCACATATTGCACACAGGTATTGATATTCAACTCTGTACCCCACAGATATGTACAGTCAACTGTGTTACAATTGGAAAAAGAAGGTGCTATAGTTTAGATTGTTTTTTCTAACTTTACAGTGCTCCCTCTTCATGCAGTGTCCCAAAATATAGCACTTGCTTTTTGGAATTTCTTTGCTCTGTTCTACACTTTCATCTGGACCTACCTTCTCTTTGCTTTACCTGTGTTGTTTCTTATTTAATTGTATTGCTAGCATTTTCCAGTTGTAGGGGCCTGTCCTACAAGGGAGCCCTGGTTGATCAGTTTTAAAACTATAGACCCTAGACTTCTGTACTTCTTTTAGATGTGACAGGGACTCCTTGCACTTTTGAATTGGACCACTATTAAATCTAGCAGAACCCCTTCTGAGTATTAGCTGTTTTCTCAGATTGGTTTGCGTGCTTTCCAGTGAATACCTCTTGGTTATTTGAGGTTTACCTTCTTCTTAGGTCCAAACAGTACCCTGTGCTTTCTGAGGCACAAACATTGATACTTCAGAGATCTTGTGGACCTTGGTGGTTTGTCTTCACTTTCTTGTATTTTAGAGTTTATCGAGATTTCTTCTTATCTATAAGTTTTTTTGTAACTGTTATCCTTAGAATTTTTTCTGTTTTTATGTGAGAATTTGGGAGGTTCAATGATTATGCTTCTGCCATTATTACCCTTTAAAAATGCCATACTGGGCCGAGCCTGTGGCGCACTCGGGAGAGTGCGGTGCTGGGAGCGCAGCAGCGCTCCCGCCGCGGGTTCGGATGCTATATAGGGATGGCTGGTGCGCTCAGTGGCTGAGCGCGGTGCGGCCAGTCTCAAAAAGGACAAAAAATAGGGCCGGCCCGGTGGTGCACTGCTACAGTGCGCCGCTTGGGAGTGCGGTGGCGCTCCCG